GAGACATAGTTTAGATACCCTTACTGCTGGATGCATATGTTTCTTGTGAAAATTGAAATCCATGTGTCAGACTAAATGCAAGTCAGCTTACTGGAATGTGTGAAGTCCACTTTCAAACCAAGGAAATCAACCCAACATTGATGCAAGGGCTGGCAGGAAAGCAATCTCAGAAAAACTGTTCTGAAGATTAAGGACCATTAGGGAAAACTCCTTATAAGATAAAAAAGAAAATAGACTCCAACAGTCCAAACAGCAGCACTAAACCTTCTTGCAAAAATCCTACTGCTGACATTTTCCAGTTTGGAATGATGCTTATGCTTTGAAATTTATTTTTTAAGATAAGAAGAAATGAGGCTTTCTCAGTTTAACAATAAATAAAATATATTTTATTGAATCAAAAGAGATTTTTTAAAATATTCTTGCCTTGTTCACTACCCTAAATTAATGAAATTTGGTAATGATTATGCCTGTGCAAAAAGACTATTGAATTTTTCACAGAGTTTCTAGGGGAATAAATAGACATTTGCAACATATTTTCAATTTATTTTCTGTTAAAATAACGTTGCCCAAGAAAGCCAAGACATTTAATAAATATTTTTATTTAATTATTTATGTCATAGGATTTTAATCTCAATTTTAACTTTATTAGGTAACTGACAGGTCTGTGAATTCAAAATATCCTTATTCTGTGTTTTGAAGGCACAAGATTGGCCAGAATATTAAGGGCTTTTAAAACATAGTAATTAAACTTTATTTTCTTATCTGCACTGTTCTAGTTTTTAAATCAAAATTTTGTTCTATTTTTATAACTGCTAAGGGTAATTAAGAAGAATTTCAACATACAACATTACTCACTCTCCAAAGTCAAGAGGAAGGTATGATTTACTTGAAAAAATGAAAATTTGAGACATGAGTCTGCTAATTTGCAGGTGATGATTGTCTTTGTGGAACTCACCTTTTTGTCTCATTACATGCTCTTGAAAGCTGACCCTGCTCCAGGCAGCCCCAAGTTGAAATTTAAGAGATGTCATCATAAATTGTTCCCTCTGACTGTACAGGAAGTTCTCTCATCACATCTAGACCTGCACCAAGAACCAGACTGCCACTCTCTGATAGCCTCAGATCCTAGAGGAAAACAGGGAACATTTTTCTTCACAGAAAACTTAAAATGGGAAAATGTGAAGTGTCACATTTTGGGCACTGTAGTAACGGTCAGAGAAGATACTGATTGAACTAGATGTAAATGAGAAAACAACAGATTTCAGACTGCTTGTGAAGATCTTGAATCATTAAATGGGTTTATGTCTAGATTCTATTGACCTGGATATGAGGCTGTGGCCTTCTGTAAAGTGCATATACTGATCATTAATAACAACAAATATAAATTATTATTTTCTTATCATTTTTTTTCTGTGTTCCCAAAATACAGGATTATTCAGGAAAGGTACTTATATGGCCATAAAATACAAAAAAATACATAATACTTTTCCTTATAAGAGGCTCCATAATAATCCTCTGCTGGACAGGAGGAAGACTATTAACCTCCATTTCATCCTGTGATGTGAAATTCAGATGACAATGTGTCCTCTGCAATTTAAAAACCACAAAAATCTCACACTCTCATATTCTCTCTCTTTGTCATATCTTTTAAAAAAGACAATTCTTTTGCTCACCACCTGGAATTTTTTGCAGTTTAACTTCCATTTGTTACTCTGCTACAGCTGGAGAACCCATTTCCACTAGAATCTCCATGCATCATGAGATGAGACACCACAACAGGGAATACCTTCAGATATTTCTAAGTATACTGGCAACTTGGTTTAAAGGTCATAATTTCCTCTTTCTTTGGCAGTCTTCAGACATTTGCTTTTGTTGTCACACATAATTATTGTTGTCAGGCAGCGCAGTGTCTTTGCTATTATGCAAAGATGGAATTTGATCTATATACTAAGTTCTAAACAAATGAAGAATGTAGAGATCAAATGTTAAAATCCCAGCAAACAGTATGATCTTATTTTGTGAAAGGTATTATCATTTTAGGATTGTTTAGTGTTTACCATACTGTGTTCCTGTGTTTACCATAACACTAGTGATTTAGTTTGTAAGTACTAATTTCTTTTTCTCTACAGCAGTTATCAAAAAATAAATAAATTGCTGCTTAACTTTTTAACAGATATAAAGAAAAACCTAGAAAACATTCATGGACATAGGAAACATGGTAGTATTTTTGTTAAAAAGTAATTTTTGGATAAGAGTATAAATTAATTTATCCAATATACTATAATTTATATATAATTAATATAACATGCAAAAATAATATGTGGAATAAAATTTTGTATTCTGAAGTGGAATGCTTAATATTCTGCATATTTACATTTAAGATATTGCATTCTCAGAATGTGAATAAGGATAATTTGATTAAGCACATATTGTAGCAAGAAAGGAAGTGTCAAATTCAGCCTCAATATTTTCAGAAGACACAATGCTCAAAACAGACAACAGAAATTCTCAAAGTATTATAGGATTCTCAAAATTCTCAGCATGTCTGAACTCTGAATGAACATTTTGTTTTCTTGTCAGTGATTCAGAATATCCACAGTTACTTTCCAGTGACAAGGAAAATGTCATGCCAACTGGGATCGAGCTTTATTTTAAAGTTGAAGGCATGAAATAAGCACCAAGAAGACAATTGTACACCTGTTTTCAAAAGTAAAAAGGCATCTCACATCTACTTTGCTTTTGAGAATTTGGCTGAGGAACATATTTCAGAAGCCCAATAGCTCATAACATTATTCCAAATGTTCTACTCTGTATGCCTAATTAGGCTGCTGCACATTTGCATAAGCATGATGCTTTATGATTAATGTATAAGACACAGCATGAAGCCCAGAATAAATTCATCCACAGATCCTCTCTCCATTTCTACTGCAAATATCCATCATGCCTGAACTGCAGTCTATCATACCTGTACATATGGCTTTGTATCATATATAAAACTGTATACACTGCATTATGAAGTAAACTTTTTTTAACTAGAAATGTTGGTAACAATAAAATGTTAGCTTTTATAAAGCTAGTGGTATTTATACTTTCTGTGATTTAGAAGAGGTTTTTTTGTGGTTTTTTTCCCATGGTAAAATTAAGTATGAACTCCACAGCTTTATTCTCAAAATTGAACTCAATTATATTTAAAACAAAGTTTTGTTAAATGAATAAACTAATAATTACTTTTGCACTTTTACTCATGGGGTAATATTAATCTAAAGCAAACAAGAACTTGCTCTTCAAGAAAGAGCAACATTTTAATAATTCAATAATGCATCCACTCACAGTCAAAATAAATAGGAAAACTACTGAAAATGTTAACAAAGGTCTAATGAATAAAAACCAGAGGATGTCACAGTAGGCTGACTTACTGTGTAAGTCAGCCTTTGATGGTTAAGTAGTGGAGATATCTGGAGAGACTACAAGCTGATACATGTTCTATTTACTGCAATTCTTTGCACTAACATGAAACTGATCTTAAGGGATCTTCCACTAAATCTTAAAGAAAAAATAAAAAAATACACTATTATTATTTAAAGTCTTTTTCCTTATGCCACAAATAGCATACACTGACTATGATTTATTTTCATATATCACCATGACCATTGTCATTTCCTTGGCCTAGCAGAGAAAGCTATAATGTACGATGTTACTGGCAGCATCTCAAAGCTGGGCATAGAGTCAATCATATTTTCTGTAACAGGGAAAAGATAGAAACAAAATTATTTGATGTGCCAAGGAGTGAAAACTCTATGAGCTACCTCCATTTTCTTTCAAAATGAATTTTCAAGTTTTTGAAAGAAAAAATATTTAAAGATTGGAGGTTTGGGGTTTTTTTAAGCTTTGTTTTTGTGTAGCAGCTGATACCTAAATACTAACATCTCACCACAGTGAGCAGTGATTAGTATCAATGGTCAGTGAGATTCAAAATAGTTTTGAACATTATTTACCTGCACTTTGCTATCAAGAACGAAACCACGGTCATTTTAAGTATTCTACTTAAAGAGAACCAATGTTAAAATCCACTAAATATTATGTTTCTATTATTCTGATTTTAATATACATATACGTATGTATATTTAATCTTTTCTACAGAAATAAGTTTATGCTTTGAACTAAACGCAATGTGCCACAAGCAAGGAACCTACACCTCGTTCAGGTGAGCACTGGTCAAAACAATCTATTTTTGGAAGGGATGTATGTAATAAGCACAAAACAAGCAGAAGCCAGTATATAAAGCTCTAGAGGAAACTATTCCCCACCCTAAGTAATAAAGCCAAAAAAACCAAGTCTATTCTATGATTCTTAAGCAACCTAAAAGATCACCTTTGTTGGGTGAACTCCCTGATCTCCATATATCTGTATGTAATAAGAAAAACTTCAACATGGCAGAAACATATTGCCAAAAGCTGGTATATTTGTATTTGAAAGTGATGGGGATTTTCCTTTTTGCCAGCTTTCTCTTTTCCCTTTGAAATTTGTTTCTTTCTATCTGTTGAGTGCACTCATTAAAATAATTAAAGAAGTCTAATGAAATTAAGTTTTCCCTCCAAGTATATGATACCTTTGCTTTAGGGTTTAAAAATATTCAAATTCAGTCTGAGCAGCTCCTATGAGATCATTCCTGAACTCTTGTGTCTCCCTTTATACAAGTTTTAGGGGGTTAAATCCACTTCACCAATGGCACACAGGCTTTCTGCATTATGTTGTCTTGACAGGAATTCGCTTTATAGCAAGCATTATCCGATGATTCTATACATAACATATGAAAAGAAGCTTATTTCTTTAATATATATAATATATATAAAATAAGACATAAAATCATGGCACAAAGGGTTACATTTTAATACACATTTTATTACAATAAAATAGATTTGGAGAACATTGACAGGCATAAACATACAGTATTTTCAAAGGAAATCTTAATATTAGATATGTTCTAATAAAATATTACATTCAATATTATATAACTTTAAAATATTACTATGCATTTAAATCAATATAAATACATTCAGTACCTAGTTGAGGCTTTGGTATGGAAAACATAGACATTTGATAAATGTTCTAGGTTGTATTTGTATACAACCAAGGTAGTTTCAGCAGCAAAGACCCTCACCATTTTCATGGTATTACATAGAAAAAAAAAGCATCAAAGGAACCAAACAACAACAACAACATTTTAATGAACCTTTCTCAAAACATTCAGTAAAAATTGAATTGGAAATTGCTTGTCTGTGCACTTCTTCTCCTTCTTTCACTGATATTCTGTCCAAAAATGCTTGGAACAGCTAGCACCTATCCAGAATCGTAGGCACCCTACACATAAGAAAAGGAGCAAAGAAAGTGAAGGTCCTTGTATGAGATATGTGTTCTAACATGACTTTATAGTTATTCACTCAGGAAAAAAAAATAAAATAAAATAAAATTTTTAAAAAATTATTGCACTCTAGATGTCAAGATAATAGAAGATTCAATTATGACTTTGACAACTTAGGTATCTTGTAGGATATTAGATCACAATGCTCTGCAGCTTACCTCTGATTAAAAACCAGGCTTACCTCTGGTTCTCTCATTTCTCTCGCTTCCTCAATTGGAAGTTTTCTGCTACTGCTTGGCCTGCTGTGTAGCCAGAGTCTACAGATCTCTTATGTGTAGTAGTTTCATTACCTAGTAGGACACTGGCAGTATCCATACATCCATATATCAGTCACTCTGCTATATGCAATGTCTGTCACATGATATAGGCAAATAAAATATTCTTCTGTGGACAAAGGAAGAGGGGACTGCTCAAAGTCTGAATCTTGGGAATAAGTCAGGTTCTACTGTCACTGAGTTTCAGCCAAATGTTCACAGTTCATAGCTGGGATGGATAAGGAATAACTTTCTTAACCTCATTCCTCTCTAAACAGGTGAGATATCATTTGAATGGCATTCACTACTACTTAATTAAATATCAGTAATGGAATAGCTTTATTTCAACAAACTCTTTCCTTAAAAAAAACTCAAAAAACCAAAAAACACCCGTGTTGGAAATGCCCAATTTTTTTCTAAGCAATTTAAATCAGAGAGCTTTTCTTTGTGTTTCCCATACCTCTCCCACCTGAGCTAATTGGTTGGTAAGCATGCATCCATTTCTCAGTGGTTAAAGCAAAGTAAAGTGAAGTCAAAGAAAGAGTCGATTTTATCTATAACACATAAAGTTCTGTACAGAACTACATTTTTTGGCACTAGATGTGGGCCACTATGGCTTAAAATTATGCTTTGACAATACTATGGTCAATCTATTTCTCCACCACTGGAACTCAGATGCCTTCACTCAAATTCAAGAATGTGTTTTTTTCAGGTATCCTGTTCTTCCTGCATGGTACATTGGGTTAGCATGGCTGTAGTCCACTGGACATGGTCATGAGTCATTAGAGCTGTCAAATGACTGCAATCCACATATTTTAGTGGCAAAATATTGTAATAAACAAAAAGTTTTAAGTTACTTATTATTTAGGATAATTTTTATTTATAATTTTTTATTCTCCCTAAGACATAAACCTAAGGAAAATGAAACTATTATATTTAATCCACAAATTAGTCAGCTCTGTTCTCTATGTTTCTATTAGATGTAATATCACTGCATTCATGCACACATGCACTTTATTTTTTCTGAGATGGAAACTGGTGATCCACATTGTCTTATGCACATGTTTGATACTCCAGAACAACTGGTTTTCTGTAAAAGGAGAAATATTCTGGTGGTCTTTTGGCCTTCTGTCTTCTTTTCAGAACAGTGTGCAAGCCAGTGAGAAACAAAATGCTCTCCTAGAATATGAAGGAAACAGAAATACCAGTAAAAACCATATTAATGAAGAAAGGGTTTTTTAGATGAATTTCTGAAATGGAACTTTCTATGAACTCTTGGTGATCCTATTCTTTCAACTTGATCAAGTACCACCCTCTTTTCCACCATGAGACCTCACAAAGCTGAAGCAGGGGGGAAAGATTGTAGTAACTGCTTTAAATGAAGGTGCACTGGCTGTCTACAGTTCTATGCTACAATATCTTCTGAGCCTAGCATTGGAACAAAGCAATACAAGGCTTGTTTCTCACTTTCCCACAATTCCTCTGCTTTTCAAGATGTTTCCAAAAGACATATACATCTGTTATATCTAAGTGTCATTACAAAACAAAATGTAGCTCACTTTGCTTTCTGAAAGAGATTCTGGTTACATGTGTATGAATCAGACCAAACAAATATTTTTATCTTCTGCCATTATGTACTGAATATTCAACATCAATATTTTCAGCACAGAGCAAGTCATCATGTTTATTTAGCGATGTCTGAATTCTTTCCAACATGACTTGCTGACTGATAGGCTCAGAGAAAGCTTTCTTTTGAATACATATGGGATTTATTCCTGAAACAGATGAAATTTCTTTTCCATTTGAATGTACCTGTACCTGTTGTCACCAGTCAGGATTTCACAAGAAGACATAATCCCAAAGACATCTTAAATGAGAGCACAGAGAGGTTTGAAAATGCAGTTCTAATACCTGAAATATCTCCCATTGTGACTTCAAAATGAGAAGAAATGTGATTCCAGACTTTGTTGCTAAGGCAGACTGCCATGTGTGGAACATATTGTATTGCTTTGCCAAAACTGCTTTCATGTCTTCATAAGGTCATCTATAACAATACACCTAATTATTGATTAATGAGCAATTCAGCAATTATTGATTAATGAGCAATACAATACCACAACACCTAAAGTCAGGGAAAGGGGCACAGCCTTCTCACTTAATAGTGGAGACTTCCATGTACAGCCGTACCTCATGGTTTTCAGAGCAACAAGGGATGCGAGGCAACCTGATGATGAGATTTTTGGGGAGAAAACCCTCAAGGAAATTGTTCAGTTATGAAGAAAGAAAACGTCTCAACATCCTTCCCAGAAGGTTCAGTCTTTTAAAAGGACCTCACAGGAATGAGAATAACAGTAAATATAACTTTTGTTCTTATTTGTATCATTTCATACCTAAACATTGAGATTAGTCTATGAGGAGAATAGATGCTTTCAACTGAAAAGTATTAAGGAGAAAAATTAATAAAATAGCATTTGGTGTAAATATGATCATCTTCTGCTTTATCCTATTAAAATATTAGAGGCCTAAGAAAATTCTGCTTTTTTCTATTGACGTATATCTGACAGTTTTCAGTGATAAAAGATGGAGATAATCCCATTTCTTTTTACAGGAAAATTGGAGATTTTTTTTAAGATGATAGCAAACAGTTTTAAAACCTCTGAGTCCTTGGTCACATCTTACCTTATTAAGCTGTCTTGGCACTTGAATAGGGTTCTTCTTTGCTACACTCTACTTAAACTTAAGCACCTTTTCATGGGAAAGGAATGCAAAAACAGGTTAGCAATAGCTTAGAACAGAAATTATTTATGGCTGAAGATAAAATTTTTAAAGAAAAGTATCTCCCTGTCTGACCATCCAGGGGTCCTCTGGCACAGTCACTCTCACATGACCTGAGCTGGGATGGAGGCTCCTGAACAGCTGCACCTCCCGCTGTCACACAGTCACACCAGGTTTCCTCACCTGCTCAACCTCAGGTCTCCCATTGCAGTCTTGGACATGCAGATCCTTCAAATAATTTAATCATGGTGCAATAACCAGATAACAAAACTAAACTTGAGCTGGTACATCCAAGGAGGGACCCAGGACAAAGGAACCTTTGGCCTTTTATACCATCACAGCCTGAATGACAGTCTGGGGGGGAAGGCCTCCTGCCATGTCTGGTCCCCCAGCAGGACCACAGGTCCCTGTGCTCTTAGTTGTGCAAAGGGTTGGCAGGACACAGCCTCTTGCCTCAGGCTCTCATCACTCAGAGCTCAACCTGCAGCTCACACTGAAACTTTCAAACCTAGCTACATGCACTGCATGCATTCATCAATGAATGATAAAAAGACAGACATCTATTGGGTTCAGAAAATGGTGTTTCAGACACACCAGTTAAAATCAAGCATTAGTTTTATCTGTTTACTGTGAAGGTAGTTAGACCTTTATAAGTAGGAATATTTGGAACAATGGATGCTGCCTTGTAACATCTGGATGGGCACAAACACTTATGTTCACAACACGAGGCATGAACACATATCAAAGATCTGTGTACAGCTCCAGGACTATGATCCTGTTGGGATCACAAAGACATGGTGCCATGGATCCCTTGACTGGTTGCAATGGAGAGATACAGACTCTTTAATATTAGGAGTAAGTGAGGTGATAATGCAACCTGAGGTGATAATGCAACTTGAGAATAATAGGATTACTCAAATGATTTATAAGCTGCACCCAAATCCATTCTGTTTGGCATGGTCATTAAGAGATGAAACATGTTAGAAAGTGAAAGAATTTTTTGTGCACACCTGTTTCTAAGCATGGAACATAACATGGGAATGACCATGATGGTGTAGAAAATGCTCTTAGCCCTCTCTCCTGACTATGAAATGGCTAATAGTAGACATTTGATGGAGGAGGTTTATCAAGAACAAGTTTGTTTCTGTAAAATACCCAGGACTTTGTATAAGCCAGTTTCTACTGGAACATCTCATGACTTTTGAATCCTCACGATACATCATTTACAACAGTCTGTACTTCTGGTTTCTCCAGTTCAGTTAAGCATGATATGAAATGTACCTTTCATTTTTCCTGGGCTGGTGCCTGATGATTTTGTCCAATGCCCTTAGTGTGCTCAGCAAGAAACACTGAGTAATCATATGCAGCTCCCATCTGGCTGAAGATCAGAGACATTCCATCAGAGAGTAATCATAGAGCAATGCAGAGACAAACTAAATGCCTCTCCCTCTCTTATTTTGTTGAGAAACTTATAAAAATCTTGAAGGCCATCAGTTTATAAGTAAGAAAGTAAAGAACCATCATGTCCTTCAGTTTAATTTGATTGACCTTGGTATTAATTACTTGTGAAGGAAGGCTAAGGGCAGAGATATCTATGCTTATCTCTGTGCATGTATTTTAAGTGCCATTTCTTTACAGCATCAATTAACATATGGTGTGGAGACTACTAAAAGGAAATAGCTATATGTGAGTATACATATGCTTGTGGCCAGCTCTCTCTGTTGAAAAAGAATGAGTTAAAATAAACTATTTACAAAAAAGACAGTGATACTACCAGATATTTTTTAAAGATCAAAAATGATCTAGAAATAGAACTCTAGGGCAGATGGTACAATGTGAAAGAGTTTTAAAGAATTCTGCATGAAAAATCATTTCTGTAGTATGTACCTCAAACTGCCAGACTCATAGAAATTAGTTCATTATCTAACTGACTCTGGGTCCTCATCTATATGTTTCTCTCAAGTGCTTTCTTGGGGTAAAAAAACCCCACATAATTTTTACAGAAATCAAGTCATCCCCTTATCATAATCCTGACACAATTATATCTTATGTACTGTGCAACAAACAGTAGAGTCTGCTACTTTTTTAAAGGATAAAAATGCTTTGTTATTCAGAATATAAGCAGCAATGTGAAAGGAATTGAAAGTAGATATAGGATTTGAAAAATGAGGAAAGCAATAGTTTGGAATGTTAAGTATTCTTGAACTATAAGGAATTCAATGACTCTATCCTTTGCAGCCCTCTCCTTTTCATTAACTTATTTTTCCTCAATGAAAAACCTGCTTCTTACTTCAAAACCTACTGCTAACTTTCTTCTAATGCAGGTCTCACCTATTTCAACAGTCATACCTCCCTCTTCTTTGCCCCTTTGCTTTCCAACTCAATTCCATTCTTTCAACTGTGTTACCTGACTCTGAATGCTTGGAGACACTGCTGGGACAGATTTGTATGTTGTTGCATGTGAATAGATTCCACTTTCACTGTGTCCATTAATTGTTACTGCACTTTACCACAATTTTTATTTATAGTCCTTTTCCATTGTTTCTCATAATGCTGTCCCTCTTCTTGAATTTCAAGCACAATTGCTTTACTTTTCAGCAATTACTACTGTTGTATTGTAAAAGTATGTTGTAGAATGGCAATGGCAATAGAGCCAGTATGGGTATAATTTCAGAGAAATAATAGGAATATCATGACATATTGTAAGGAACAATTCCTTACTCACAGTATCCACATGCAATTATCTTACCACAACATAATACAATGGAATTCTAAGCAGGTGATTTCATGATGTTCATATCAACTCTGACTAATTTGTAGCCAAAGATTTGGGTATTTAACAGCAACAACTTTAAGTCATGCTGCTATCTCTTCTGTCAGTTTATATCACCAAGGAGATACAATATGAGAAATGTCTTTATTTTCTCTAAGCTGAGCCAATTTGAGAAAATGTTAATTGTAAAAACTGGAGAAGAACTTCAGTAATACTTCATTAATTTAATGAAGAGTAGAATGTACCTAGGAATAGTTTATCTGTTAATATACACATATTGACATTGCTACTACCAGAGTAGTCCACTAGAAGCATTGACAGTTTTCACTGATTTGAAACCAGAACAAACCTGTGGAATTTTTGTACAATTTCTGCTCAAAATTTTTATAATGTAAAAATGTGTCTGTTAAAATATCAATTTTGCTACGAAATTCAAATTTGTTTTAGGTAATTTTAAATATAATATTTCTTCTTGGGGCAAATAGATCTCATTCTTGACATTTTCATTTGCAAAATAAAATAAAAAACTGTTTCAATATTTGTTTGCCCCTTTGTTCGTCCCTAAGGAAGCTTTTAACAGCATTTGTTAGGATGGCTCATAGAGCTTTTCTATGGAGAGGAATCACTGATTTAATTATATCTTCTATAAAATAATTCAGTTTCCCTTCTGAATGCATGACTAAAGCTCCTAGGGCAGATTATACTATGATTTAGCTTACCCTACATTTGGAGTTCATAGTGCATATGGAATTATAATAAATCCCTGTGGTATTCAGGTTTGTATCAAACTGAGTAAAAAGCATGCATCCAACAGTAGCTTGATGAATTAAAAAAACCACTGTAACAGCAATAGTCACATCCATGAATCCTCCTTCTTACCTCACCATCACCGAGCAGATCCCTGATGGAATGGTGACAGTAACTAAGGCTGAGCTGCTGGAGAGCTGGATATCCCAGACAAACAGTGATTAGTCCTGTGCACCTCAGAGTACGTGCACACCGCATCCTTCTGTCCAGGGTATCCCAGACAGTTGGCCCACAGTTATTTAATTGCAATACGTTAGCAGGAATTATTACAAAAACTAAAATTAGAATGTTGCTTAAAGAAAAGCTTTTTAAACTTCCAGTGCGGGAATAATTTGCTGCTTTGCCACATCACTCTAATTCAGGATGAAAATAAGTGTTGCAATAATTAATTTGGGGGGGGGGGGGGAACACCTCTGCCCCCTATTACCTGTATTATACTTACTTTATTTAAGGGTCATGAAAAAAAATCATAGATCAAATGTCCTTAATTATGAAAAATCCCCCCAAAGCCTCTGTTTCTAGGAAAGTAGAATTTTTGCAGTTCTTGCAGAACTGAGCAAGCTATTATGCAGTAAGACAGAAAACTCCCAGTTTTGTGGCATTTCGATACAGTGAAAATAAGATAGAAAGGGGAGATGAAGGAAAATTGTCCAGCTGATCTGATCTATTTAAAACTGACCAGGGATTTAAAAGCAGATTTCTAACATTATTAAAAGTAAAATTGACTGGCTGCAGTGAGGATTACACATTGGCTTCCCCTCTGCCACATATTTTTCCCCTATCTGTGAGTGCTCTTTAAGAGCCAGGACCAGGTTACCCTGGTGTAGCAGCTCCAAGAACATCACTTCTGATGACCCTCCTTGGGCAACTGGAAAGTGTTACATGCAGTCTAAAGGTATGAAGCCTGGGGTAACCTGGCAAGCTTCACCATCAGCAGACTTAGATACCACCATGAAGATGTTAGGATCATCTTAGTTTAGTAATGGAGGCACCCACATAATGTAGAAAACGTAGCTATTTCCTCTTTTATTTATTTATTTTTTTTAATTGGTGCAAATTACAGAATCACAGAATATTCTGGGTGGAAGTGACCCACAAGGATCATCAAGTCCAGTTCTTAAAGGAATTGAACTCAGAACTTGGGTGTTATCAGCACAATGCTTTAACCAACTGAGTTTATCTCAGGGTAAGATAAGGTCATAAAAATATTTATAACTAAGATTTAATGGAGTCTGGCTTTTAGAAGTCTTGGATTGACATTTTACCATGTGGTTCTTTATTGGTTCTCTATTATAGAATTTTCTAACTGCTGTATAAAAATATTTTGGCAACAGCCTGAGAGAACAATAAACAGAACTATCTGAAATAAGATACATGTTCAATCAAAAAGAAAGCAAAGCACCACAAATCACACAAATACAGAAAACAATAGCTAGAGCAGAAAGAAGGAATGTTAAAATAAAAAGCATGATTATACTGTGTAAAATCCTGTCAAGACACATATCTGGAAAAGGAGATTAATTGAATTACCCCTAAATGGTAAAAATCTGAAAATTTACCAGAAGAGTATTTAAGAGTTGGACAGAGAAATATTTAGTGGAGAAAATATACTTATGAAGCCCAGAATATATTTGTGCAAGTTTATGCTGACAAAAAAAAAAAGGTACCTACCATAAGAGTCCAGTAAATAACCTAGTTAGAACTTTCTTACTCTTCACTCAGGCTCAGCAAGTACCTTTCCTGACAAAGGGGAGAGAGATCTGAAAATGGTAAGCATGTGAAGTAATCATAACTTGTGCTTCCCAAAGCCAGCAAGAAGAGGCAGAAAGGATAATAACTTCTACAAGTTTTGCTAGGTTTTTTTTTTCCAGTGCTAGTGCTTAGAGCACATTGAGTCATCATCAGCTGTGGAGATTTCACTTAGTTTGACCGGATATTTTCGCACATTTTGAATGCTATCCCAAGGCCAGATTTGCAATCTTCATTCGATTAACTGTCATGTACAGTCCAAGTCCTGTTCCTGTGCACCATATGTGTCTTTATTTTGCCTGGTGCCTTAATCTGCAAGGTGCCACAGAAGTACTCATGTGGTCATTTGGCCACTGGATCATGAAGTCTTTTCTGACCAGCTATTTTCAATGTTTGTATCAACTGCAAAGCAGAAATAAATAGTGATTACAAAAAGCAAATAATACTCATTTTATTGCCCAGTGAAGGCAAAGTTGGGACAATAGCAGAGCAGCTGTTTGGCATACTTTCTGGGATTTAGAATCCCTAACAGAGACCTAAGCACTTGTATGTCCATTTGTGAGAATCAGCTTGGATATTTGTGCCAGAGCTTTATAGTTGCCAGCATTTCTACACTCTTTATGCTGGGAAAAGTGTCAACTTGCCTATACATGCTAGATAAGCAAAGGCTATGAGCACATTTAGGGGAATGACCAGGGAAAAAGCATTTTCATTTATTCACTGTTAGCACCAAAAAGCAACAAGGAGCGAAATATAACCACTGCCACAAGCATGAGAAGAATGGAACCCTGGAAAAGGCATTAGGCAACAAGCAAAAATTTCTGATGCCTCCTACATGATAAGATACTTTTCTGAGAAAACCCACCAAAAAAAGAAAAATAGATGCCATTCTTTGATATCTGTAATTAGCTCTTAAGAGTGATATTTCTGCCTCCATCCAATTAATGGACATACTAAAAAAATAATACATTAAATAGATTATAACATACATAATATATATTAGCTATATAGTTTGACACCTCCTTTTTAGAAGAGGTTAAATCTGATTGCAGATGGGTGAAGCTTATGTTAAGATACTTGTGAATATTCCATAATTAAAGTGGTGTATTTTTAGAATGAAGTCCCTGATATGACCCCTACAGTTCTGTTTTCATTATGGCATGCAAAAGAAATAGGAATTTGTCTGCCTTAAGGTAAATCCTTCTCTGTGACTGCATTTTGATTCCTTCTCATCTGATAGTATTGATGAGTATATTGACAACTGTCACTTCTCTTCCAAATTATTTCTCTCTGTATCTGGCCTATATGCATTATTCTTTCACAATTCAACTTGTGGAGAGCTACCATGACTTTAGACTGGTAAAAAAAGTTTTGAATTTCGTATTTGAATTGAAAAGTATATAGAACCACAGTACATAGTTGAATATTAAAGAGAATTATATGTATATTTGTGTCAATGAAAAAAAAAAAAAGAGAGAGAAATGACACCAAGACTTCAGTTCAAATAGATCAACAGAATATAGAGGACATATTATTGCAAAATTAATGGATTGGGCCACAAATTAGCTAACATAAGTTTTAAATGTAAAAATATGCATATTCTCATGTAGTAAAAGAGGCACTTGTGAGTGGAGGCTTTTAAGTGCATTTCTCATAAGAATGCCAAAATGCATGGTGGTATGGGATATCACCTAAAAGTAATGGCTAATCATTTTTTGACTGTTTGAGGGTGTTTTATTCTTTTGATAGGACGCACAAACTGTCATCATTGGCCAAATGATAAGTGGACTAATTGATTGCAGGAGCAATTAAGTAGTATTTTTTCCTTGTTTTTTAAGCAATGAATAACTCTAAATTCTAAACTTAAGCCAGCAAGACATCTTCAATTGTGTCATGAATTAATTATGATCTGCGTAATATCCATCAAAGAGAACTGTCTGACCTATTGAAAGGAAAAGCCTCGAGCATACTTTGAGTCTCTCTTTCTCACTGTTTACTTCCATTTCTCTCTCTTCTGCTGACACAGAACTTTCATTCCTTTCTAGTAAATTAACCAATTTGCCCCCTTTCTGGGCTCCTACCTCACTAAAGACTTGGGAAGACATTTGCTGATAGCACAGTTCAGTTGACTTTATTGTCTATATTCTGGTGTACACTTCATCTGCATGGTTATTCTGCATGTTCTTCCAGGTACTAGTACTTCATGTCTGGCCAGGCAAATGTGGAGTTTCTTCTTATTTCCTAGTCACAGCAATAATCAACATAATTAATAATAACAGGTATCATATGTATTTAAGCAGAATTCACTATTATTTCTTGACTTCTCACTAAATTTTTGTTGCTCGTGTATGAATTACTTTTTTTTCTGGTAGAAATAACTTGAATGAGTTTGCCAGTTATACTAATTAGGAGAACCTGTGGACACCCTTGAGGGCAGAGGGACCTTAAAAAGAGATCTGGATACCATCAACAATATGAAATTTAGCATGAACAGACACCATGGGACAGGATAATCCAGGTTATAAATACTGGGAATAAAAGGCTGGAGAGCAGCCCTGTGGAAACTGATCTGTGGGTCTGGGTTGGTGGTAAATTTAATATCAGTCATTAGTGCCCTGGTGGCCAGGACAGCCAGCTGTGTCCTGGGTGCATCAAGCACAGCATCACCAGGCAGGCAAGGGAGGGGAATGCTCTCTTCTGCTCTGCGCTGATGTGGCAGCACCTCAATTACTGTGTTCAGTTATGGGTGCCTCAATATAAGAAGAAAATCAAATTATTTGAGTGTGTCCAGAAGAGGGCAACCAAGATGGTGAAAGGCCCCAAAGGCAAGACTTTGGGTGGCTGAGGTCAAAGGTGGTTTGTTCAGCTTGGAGAAGGGAAGCATGAGGGGTGACCTCATCGCAGTCTACAACTTCCTCAAGATGGGCAGCAGTGGAGGTGGAGGCGTTGTTTATCTCCTCTCTCTGGAGACCAATGATAGGACACAAGGAAATAGAATTAAGTTGTGTCAATAGAAATTCAGATTAAGAGTCAGAAAAATGTTCTTTGCTGGGGGGATGGTCAGTCACTGGCTCCACAAGGAAGAGGCTCCCCAAGGAAGGCGTCGTGGCACGAATCCTGTAAGAATCTGGAGGAAGCTCTTAGCCATATGGTCCCTTCCAGTAAGAGATATTCTGTGAGTCTATGATGCTATGAATTAAGGAAAGGGAACTTATAAAAAGACAGGCCAAAATAAGAAATTAGGAGGCAGTCATATTTTTCTTATAGAATTTGCTTATTAGATTGAAGAATTTATTGTGATTTGAGGCCAAAGTCCTTCATAGAACATGTATTTGGACAATTTGTGTTTTGATATGCCATAGGATTCAAATTCTTTTAATGTCATTAACTGATTAAACCAATGATTGACTCTGTTTTCAAACTCCAAAAAAAATAAATGAATGAAGAATTCTTATATATTGACAATTTTTTCAGCTATTAATTGGTTTGCTTCACTGCATGTTTTTAGGAACATTGTAAACATTTTCAGAACCCAGATGTCTTTTTTAAGTAATATTTTTTATGTATTACAACATATAGGACCACAAAAAATATACCCACCACTTGCCTTAAAAACTCTTTGGTTGGTTTCAGGCAACTGTTCCACCCAAAGCCAGAAGCTGTGTCCAGCATCTGGGTTAGAGGCTGGCCCTATCCTGTGTCTTGCAGTGCCTTTAGAGGTCATTCAGCCCCTGTTGTCTGTCTCCCAGTCCACTACTCCCACAGTATCTTCGTGTTTTAATTTCCAGCACCCCCATGGCCTATTTCTTCCCTCTGCTGTGGGTGAATGGAAACAAGGCAGATTCCCTGAAGACTGTGCTGGACATTAAGGAAACACACTATGAACAAAGTAATAGGGATTCAGGAGCTGTGGTGTAAGCACTAAGTAGCTTAGGGCTTAAGAGCTCTCAAAGCCTAGTTCTCTCTCTCTTGGAGGCCTATGACCTGTTACCAGGTCTGAAGGACAATTGTGATGCATTCTTTGATGTGCCATTTTAAAGAGAAATGCAGTCATGCATTCCTTTTCATGATATAAAAATTTAAACTTTCTGGATGATTGGAAACACGGAGTGCTCTAGAGAGGTGACTACTATAGACTGGGATCCTAGACCATGTGGTTAATGTGAATTAATGACCACAGAACACACTCTGTTGACTTTCACTAAGGTTACACTGGACTGATTACATGAAAATCCAACATAAGAATCCACTATTAGATGAGGTACTGTTAAACATCTTAAACATCTTAGCACGTATACATATATATATATATATTTCTTAAGAAGTCCAGATGATAAATCAGAAAGGAAGAAATATGTGAAAAACAAAATTAGTGTCATGAATATTATGGAAGATTTAATATAATTTTCGTTTTACTTTCCATGACAAATTTGAATGAATGAGGTAAAACAAGAGGGGGAAGAAAGAAAAATCATAAGTAAGAAAGAGTAGGTCAAGAAAAATTACAAAGATTCCAATTATTGTTATTAGTAGTGTCATTAACAACCCACTCCAGCCATGGAATTTTAATATGTCACCTTATCCCACTACAGGATATTGTTTCCACCCAGAAAAACTGGTTTTGTTTTCTAAATTATATAACCAAAATTGTCATCTATTGTTTTCTTTCTGCAAAGATATATAGGCAACCTGTAAAAAAATTTACATTTTACAAATTGTGTTATATTACCTCAGATTCAGGGAATGTCAACACACATGATTAAAGGACAGGCTATGCTATAACACTCGGTAGCAATTTTGCATTTATTTTGATGGGTAATTTCTTTCTATTCAGTAGTCATTTTTACAGGCCTGTGCAGAGTTTCCACAAGAATAACAAAAATAAAGGAACATAAAAGCAAATATACCAATGAGGAATTATTTAGATCTAAAAAGTTACATCTCTGAATTTTTAAAAGATTTATGATTTAAGAAAGGCTTTGGAATACTTTGTGAGTGGTTCGGTTTATTTTTTTTTTCCATGTCAAAATAAAAGCAGGAATAAAATTGAGACCTTTGAATGTACTTTGAGCTTTGAGTATTTAAGAAAGTAAACACCTTTACTAGCATGTGCATTAGTTATCCCATTCAATAACTACAGACATTTTTCTTTAAAAAACACAAACCCTCTAGCACTTGCAAAGAAATTAATCAAGAACAGAGCTGACATTTTGCACTCTGTTCCCTCAC